GAGAGTGGACATCCTTCCTAGAAATAAATGACTCTCCAAAGTCATTGCTTTGGTTGCTTTGGGAAACAGGCAAAGCAGTACTACGAGGTAAAATCATATCATTCTCCGTACATATAGAAAAGCTAGAAAAGCAAGAAGAAATCAGACTAGAAGAAAAAATAAAAGAACTTGAAATATTACATGCAAATAACCCAACAGAAGTAATATATAATGAACTAAGAAATTGCAACTATTAAGGACTCAGCAGGGAAGCCTACCAACTCTCCACAAGAAATAAATACAATATTCCGAAACTTCTATGCTAAACTTTATTCATCTGATAATAACACAAGACAAGAGGATATTAATTCATTTTTCAATAATATTCAACTCCCAAAACTTAACACAGAACAAATCGACGCACTGGACAAACCAATCACAGAAAAAGAACTTCATATCGCCCTGAGCCGAATCCTTAACAATAAAGCACCAGGACCCGATGGCTTCCCTGCTGAGTTCTATAAACACTTCTGGTCCATTTTATCTCCATTATTCATCAGAGCAATAACAGAAATAAAAGAAAACTTAAGATTACCAGTGCACATGAACACAGCCACTATTTCACTCATCCCCAAACCTAATAAAGATCCAACCCTTCCGTCAAACTACCGTCCTATATCTCTCATCAACGTAGACATCAAACTAATCAGTAAAGTTCTTGCACATAGAATTTAAAAAATTATCCCATTCATAATCCACCCAGATCAGACCGGTTTCATCAAAGGTAAGGCAGACATCCAACAACACACGCAGACTATACGATTTAATCCATTATTCATCACTACAACAGGAAAACACCATTATATTCACTTCAGATGCAGAAAAAGCTTTCGACAGAGTCAACTGGAACTTTTTATTCACCACATTACAAAAATTTGGCTTTGGGGAGTTGTTTTTTAATTGGATCACGATTTTATACACAACACCTTCTGCCACAGTCACCACCAATGGACTAACATCACAAAGCTTCAAGGATGCCCGCTCTCTCCTTCTTTATTCACCATCTTCACTGAACCCTTAGCAGAAACCATCTGCCAGAACCCACTCATCAGAGTAATCCACACACCACAAACACAACATAAAATTAGTTTATATGCTGATGACATGTTACTCTTTTTGCAAAATCCTCAGTTATCTCTGCAAGAAATAACTAAAACCATTGATTCATACTCTACAATCTCAGATTATGCAATAAATTGGAATAAATCCTCAATTCTTCCACTACATCAAACCAAATGGGATGTGGCAGGCCAGATATCACCCATTCCTCTATGCACAGGTCACATCACCTATTTAGGTGTTAAGGTTTTCTCCAGGCTGTCAGAGCTGACTGGACTCCACTTTCCATCCAGGGCAGAATAGCTATAATCAAAATGACAATACTCTCAAAAATAAACTACTTATTCTCAATGATCCCAACCCAACCTTCTCTCACTTGGTTCAAATCTTTAGACTCCATCATCACCCGATTCTACTGGAAAAATAAACCACCACGGATAAAATTAAGCACTTTACAAAAACCCAAATCTTTAGGAGGCTTAGAAGCCCCACATTTTTACCATTACTCACTAGCAAACCAACTTCAATACATATATAAATGGACTCACCCCACTCAGTCAGACATCATATGGCTAGATATAGAACAATCACTCTGCGAAAACTTGCACATATCAGACATCCCATTTCTCAGTCAGTCCATTAAACACCACCCATGCTTCAAAGCCTTGACAATAGCTTCGGCTCTGACAGCCTGGTGGAAATATCACCAAATCACAAACTCCAATCAGGATCCATCTAACCTCACCCCACTTTGGAACAACCCTGACTTCACAAGCAACAAAAAAAAACACTCAATTTCCATAAATGGGCAGAAAAGGGCATCACACATATTAATCACATGTCTCAGTCTAACAACCTGGTTTCATTTTCCTACTTAGCCCAGGAGTACGGTATCGGGAGCAATCAACCACAAACACAACATAAGATTAGTTTATATGCTGATGACATTTTACTCTTTTTGCAAAATCCTCAATCATCTCTGCAAGAAATAACTAAAACCATTGATTCATACTCTACAATCTCAGATTATGCAATAAATTGGAATAAATCCTCAATTCTTCCACTACATCAAACCAAATGGGATGTGGCAGGCCAGATATCACCCATTCCTCTATGCACAGGTCACATCACCTATTTAGGTGTTAAGGTTTTCTCCAGGCTGTCAGAGCTGACTGGACTCCACTTAGCAATCAATTCTTGAACTATTTGCAACTCAAATCAGCTGTTTCATCTAAAATCAACACCCGAACCATCAATCTTCACCTTCCTTCCACCCGATTCTACTGGAAAAATAAACCACCACGGATAAAATTAAGCACTTTACAAAAACCCAAATCTTTAGGAGGCTTAGAAGCCCCACATTTTTACAATTACTCACTAGCAAACCAACTTTAATACATGGGAAGAAGACCTTTCTATTGCTCCTGATACAGACTTCTGGACTCAAATTGGTAAAAATATTTATTCCATGACTAAAAACGCCAACCTACAGCTCATACAGTATAAGACTCTTCATAGAACACACTACACTGGGGAAAGGCTGTCTAAAATGGGATTCACATCAGAAACTTGCTCGCACTGCTCACAAAATTGTCCGGACACATATATCCACGCCACATGGCACTGCCCACCCATTATTTATTCCATGACTAAAAACGCCAACCTTCAGCTCATACAGTATAAGACTCTTCACAGAACACACTACACTGGGGAAAGGCTGTCTAAAATGGGATTCACATCAGAAACTTGCTCGCACTGCTCACAAAAAAATTGTCCGGACACATATATCCATGCCACATGGCACTGCCCACCCATTAAACACTTTTGGAAAGACGTCACTGAATCCCTATCCCGCCTCCTGGGCTGCCACATCCCATTATCCCCCTTACTCTGTCTACTGGGTGATCTATCAACTCTCAATCAGGAAATAATAAACAAAAGGATACTCCTCGTAGCTTTAGCCATCGCCAAGAAAACTATCTTCTTGAACTGGAAATCCCGAAACATTATTCACATAACGCATTGGAAAAATTTGCTCACAGACTATATCTCCTTAGAACATTTTTCACCTCCTTACAACTATACTTCGGAACCACAACACTCCAGATCAGACCTCATTCAACCCTGACACACTCATCCTAATTATTTATATATTCACATAATATTAAACATATTTATACAAGGTTTTAGTAATATTATGAGTGTTTTCAATATTATTATTATTAATATTATTATTATTATTATTATTAATATCATAGAAACATTGAGCAGTAATAAGATGATGTTGATGGGATGATATTTTGTATAAGGACGGTAACGGTTTAATGAAGATCATAACACTAAATAAATATACTTAAACTATATAAATATAACTAAATCAAATCTGCACCCAACATATACCACAGATGTTTTTAATGCACCGCATGCTGATTTTAATGCACCACACCCTTCTTTTAATGCACCACCTTAGCTTAGGCATACATACATATACATATAGTAATCTTACCGTGAATGGGGGGGAAAAAAACAAAACAAAAACATGAACACACAGAAGCTAGGATAGGTGTGGTATGTGTTGGGTTTGTGTCATTATTACATTATTATTATTATTACTATTGTTATTACATCTTTATTATTATTATTATTACTTTTATTATTATTGATATTACTGTTGCCGTCATCACAGGGTATTATTGTTATCATCACCATCTTTAGTATTATTATTATTATTATTAATGTTTTTGCAAATGGAAGTACTGATGCGCACACTCATCCCAGAAGTTGGTAGATGCCATCTTGTGCACCTAGTCCATTATGACAAATATTCAGTTCAAATATAGGAAATTAAGTATATATTCACATGCCTGTATATGTGTCATAAAATATATTTACTGGGATTCTCCTTTGACTGGTATTCAACTATTCAATTAAATTGTCAATTTTAAAAAGAACAACCGGTTTAGTATTTTATATTACTAATGTAATATTTTATATTACTAATCCACCATGCAGATTTTAAAATTTTGGATTTTAAACGACATAACTCTTTGTTTTATTTTACACAGAAGGACCATCAGCTCTAAAAATTAGTGGTTTTGATTGGTAATGAAGAGAGGAATTGTTCCTTAGCTATTTGTTGATTTGACTATGTTCTTTGAAAATATTAATTTAAGCCATTATTATTATTATTATTATTATTATTATTAGGCCTATTATTATTATATTTTACTTTAAGTATTTTTACATATTATGTCCGGCTTTATTGGTCCTCATCAGACAACAAACACTCGTTTTGGGTGTTCTTAATTTTAGTTCTGTTTGTCCAGAGGCTGCCTGTAAGACACTCTTCTGCCATCTTCAGGGTAAACATTTACATTTCATGTGACAATCAATTGCTGGCACAAACTTATCTGCTTGGATAATGTATTTTGTTTGGGAGTCTTTAAAATTGTATTTAAATATTAATTATGTTTGTGCAGTCATTTAGTGGGATGGTTTGGGGGTCCCCCTTTGTAGAAATTGGGTTCTGGGGTGGGTGGGGGGACCGGAAGGGTACCTTAGCGGTGCTGATTAAAGGGGCAGGGGGACCCACGATCTAAAATAATTTTACTTTCTCAATAATAGTTAATACATATAATTACTGCACCTCCCCATTTGACATACTTTCACATAGTTTCATAAACCACATGCAACTGTAATTTTCAAACAGGTCTTACAGGTTCATTCCAGTTGACGTGAGGTATCTTGCCCAACGAGTTACGCTGTTCTTGCACCTTTCTCATTTTCCATGTCTCAAGTTTTTCATTTAGTCCACAGGTATGTTTACAGGTGCAGATAACATGAAGACACATCCAGTCACTGAGATTGAGACTCTTCTTTTTCACATCAGCATGATTTTCAGAGATCATTTTATTTAAAAAAGGAGAGTGGAAAAACCCTGGACTCAAGTTTTCGGGTTTTGCCAAAGGAAGAGGAGTCCAGTGTTCACAGAGACAGAAGAAGAGGTTATGAGCAGTGGTTTGATTAAGAGTCTGTTTCCTCTGCTTCTGTACTTTACCATTAACTGTAAGTACAACCTCTCAGTCAATGTGCATTACAATAGTGGGGTATGTGATACAGTATGTCTTTCTTTCTTAACACACACTGTAAAAAAAAATCTGTGACGTTTATGGTAAAATACCAGCAGCTGTGGTTGCCAGAACTTCATCTGTAAAAAATATGGCAGCAACATTTTAGATTTTACAGACTTAACTTAAATTCACAATAAAAAACGTATTTCATTAACTGATGTACTGTTAATATACCAACCTACTAAATTACTAATATTTGTTTTGTAATACACTGATAACCACCAAAAACAGGTGGTGATAAGAAAGTCACATGATGAATTAAAGCTCATCACAAACAGCTTTTCCACAAGCTGAGGAGAGAGATACTAACAAATAGAAGGTGAACAGTGTCATTCACACAAATACTAAACACCATAATGGTAACACGCATGATACTATTCTAATAAGGGATCCGCACTCACTTAATCTTCTTAATCACTTTCGATTTATTTTAATTTTGAAAACAGGGCAAACAACAATCAAACGTTTTGGCGGTAAGTCTTCTTCAGTGAATCATACAGTGACATTCCCTACAAGAGTTCTAACAAAAGAAGTCCAAAGATCACCCGGTGAAAAGTCACATAACAGGTGTTAATGATCACAAACTTAATTGACCAATCAATCAAGCAATTTCAGGACAAACAACCTATTGCCTATATTATTTGATATTTTGTAAATAAACAAAGGAGAATTTTTAAAAATATAAACTAAAGAAGGGTCAGTTGAAAGAATATTCCAATATTTTGTTACAATTTCCTTGATCTGATAAGACTGTTCGCTAAAAGTCAGAACACATTTAACTGAAAAATATTTATTTGTTTTTTTATTAGCTTTGTGTAATAATTGTTGTCTATTTAACACTTTAACGTTATCATATGCCGACTGAAGCCAAGCGTGTGGATATCCACGAGCTTCAAATTGACTAAACAATATGCGAGATTGTTCCTCAAAACTTTCTTCCGAATCACAGATTCTACGTAGTCGATGAAATTGACTCAATGGCAAACCCTTTTTTAATGAGAGAGGGTGAAAACTATCCGCCGCAAGAATTGTGTTTCTATCTGTTGGTTTCCGGAAGACAGTGGTTCTTAATTTTTTGTGGTCCTTCACCATTAACACATCCAAAAAATGGATAGTGTTTTGGTCTCGCTCCATTGAAAATCAAATAGATGTCAATCTGGAATTGAGAAAATTACAGAATTCTACCAACTCTTCCAAATTTTGTTAAATTTTTTATGGATTATTTGTGTTATATGCTTTTCTTTTGTGCCTATATTGGTATGTTATTTTTATGTGTTTAATGTTTTGGAATTATCTTTGGTTGTTTGTCCTGAAATTGCTTGATTGATTGGTCAATTAAGTTCATGATCAGTAACAACTGTTTTGTGACTTTTCACCGGGTGATCTTTGGACTTCATTTATTTTTTAAGAACTCTTGTAGGGAATGTCACCGTATGATTCACTGAAGAAGGCTTACTGCCGAAACGTTTGATTGTTGTTTGCTCTGTTGCAAAATTAAAATAAATCGAAAGTGATTAAGAAGATTAAGCGAGTGCGGATCCCTTACTAGAATATGATGTGCTGACTGATCTATGCACCCTAGACTAAAGTTGAGCACAGTGAACTTTATATTTTAACACGCATGATACTGAAATAATGCAATAAATATTAACTAAAAACAACATTAGATGTATGGAAGAAAAACAATGACAAATGTCTTTGAAACAAAAAAAATCATGTTAAATTGCATTAACTGAAAAAAAATATTGCATTGCATTAACAGTGCTTGCATTTTAATGCCTTGTATTTTCAGGGTTTGCATTTTTAGGGTCTGAAATTTAACATAGTTGTTTATTTAAACTGGGAATATTTCAATTCAAAACATTTCACACATTTTCATAATAAAAAAAATAAATAATTCATATTCACCTTCCAGAGTTCACTTCCGAAATATTCAATCTGTTTAAAAATATGATGAAAAATATTCGACAGGCAATTTTCAGTCCATTTTATTTCACTTTACAAATTCTCTACCATAAATTCAGTGGTTCAGATTCGGCAGAAAATTCAGCATTGCACATCCGGGAACTGCAGGAATAGCAGTAGAGTACTGATGCATGATCTTCATCTGCTGTTAGTCACTCACCAGCAGGTGGTGCAAACGGGTGTTGATAAAGACCAAAGCAACAGGTAGAGCAAGTCATTCATTCACAAAAACTGATTTGCAGAAATGGAGCAAGCAGTAAGGAGAACTTATGATTATCAGGACCAGTATGTATATGTGGAAAAGCTGATTAAGACTCAAAAGCTGTGTTTACGTTTAATAGGTTGTTTGCACAAGACATCATTGCTGTGGCGCGATATGCAGCTGGAGGGCAGGAAGGGATTTTTCTATATAGGAATTGTTAGCAGAAACTCAAAATGCCTGTTTTTCGTTGTTTATGAATGCCCAAATCTATCAAACTGAGAAACCACAATGAGCTTTTATCATGTACGAAAATTTGTTGTTCATAACTCAACTCAACTCAACTTTATTTCTAGAGCACTTTCAAAAACCACAATGGGTACCAAAGTGCTGTACATGAAAATAACAAAAATAAACAAATACATACAAGCAAAAATACATCGTTTACAACACATTATTAATGTCACGAATCCGGTCTATGAACTTCCGTTCACTCACCACCAGAGGTCACCCGCTCACTACATGGACTCTCACACTACACAGACTGTTACTTCTTTGCCTGTTTTCCTGGATTTATCCCTTTAGTCTTGCCCTTTTGATTCTGTTCGCCGTTCGTTGACCTTCGCTAGCCCTAGGATTATTCTTGTGTCTTGCCCGCCATATACCTGTTCGCCATTGTTCGACCCTGCCTGTGTTTCTGACCTCTCTGCTTTAATAAAGCTTGCACATGGATCCGCATGTCTCACGTCTTGTCAGCCCCGTAACAGTTACACTATACCCTGGACTACATGTCCCATCATCCATTGCACTGATTGCACACAGCTGTAACCAATCACATGCTCACCTGAAAGCAATTACACACACACTATATAACACCCACTCAGAGCCTGCTCAAGTCGCCGAGTATTGTCTGTGTTTATTGCTCTCCAATAATAGCACTTTACGGAGCCATTTCCCTGTCTTAGTTTCTAGTTCCCGGTCTAGTTCATAGTTTAGTCTAGTCTTGCCTTGCCTATTTTCCTGTGTGAAGATCTTTGCCTGTGTATTACGGACAGTGTTGGGTTTTGAAAGTAATTAGTTACATTACAATATTACTGTCTCTGAATTGTAATGCGTTACACTACTTTTGAGTTACTTTTGAGTTACTTTCACCAAAATATCCACAGAAGTATTATAAAATGCCAAAATGTAGTTTATTGCTGCTCATTCTACACGCAGTGGAGGGTAATGTGGTAGGTCTATATAGCATAAAATTATAAAATCATATTTAGATGCCGGTATGTAGGTCTACATTAATGTTACATTGTAGTTTAGATTAAACACAGATAAGCAGAAACAGCATTATTACATTCATACATAACACCGGTAAATAAAGCAAAATGTTATAATGTACAAACAATAAACACAATACCTAGCCTATAGGTTTCAGAAGAAAACAAGAATGAAAAATATAAGTTGCTAAACAAGCCAAAACGAATTAGGCTAATCAGTGGCGGCGCTAGGGGGGGGCTTGACGTTCCCTTATTTTTGGTGTCACTTTCATTAACATTAAAAAAATAAACATTAAAAAAAATGCCTAATATGTGGCCTACAAGCGATTGATATTATGGGGGCGGGGTCAAGCAACACAAGCAAGCAACGAGCAAACTGTGCGCAAGAGTTATGCCGGTGAACGTCAGTAAATTCACTATAGAGAAAGTGAAAGTAAAAAAACTGACGGAGCTTTCTAACGCTGCATTAACGGCGCATATTCTCTGAGACAACAAGAGACAAAATTACTTCAATATAGGCTGATGATGGTATATATCTGTCTTAAATTATTCCCTTAATATTTCTCTTGTGGCCCGTATAGTGAAAAACATGAGAAGAAACGTATTTCGCGTTAAACAGGTTGTTTTTGAAAATCTGTGCACGAAATAAAGCTGCTCTTAATTTTCATCGATGACTGCAGTGTTAATAATTTTAATTATAAGCCTATAATTCAATTGTATAAATTAATAGACCTGTTTAAAAAAAACTTTAAAAAAACATTCTCAATGAGGAGTAGCCCAATTTAAAAAACATTTTCAATGAGGAGTAGCCTAAGCTAATAGCCTAAATTTTAATTATCCTCACAGCGCGCCATACGGTAATGCGCTATGAAATTATTGCGGCTCATTAATTTCATGTCATTTAATAATAAAATTAACCTAATAATAATAATAGGCCTAATAATAAGAATAATATAACAGCCCTACATTACTTGGAAATGCTAAATCCTCTTAATATTGCCAATTTTTGATGCTTTGTTTTGACAATATCTCTGGCTATCGTCGACACATGATACAACGCATCTCAGCACGGGGAGGTTATCTTTATCTATTGTAAAAAATGGTTAGAATTTACCATGTTTTCCTGCCAGTTGGCATTGAGAGTGACTGACGCTTGATGGTCAGAAAAAATGACTAAATAGATACGTGTAAAAAAATTTATAAAAATTAAATTAAAAAATTAAAAACATTTTCTATGTGCGTTCATAAATTGTATTAATTTGTAAGTGTCATATTTGGCAGTTGGCATTAAAGTTATATCACTAATAACAGTGGCATATGAGAAGTTTATACCATAGAAAACAAAATCTAAAATATGCCTTTTTCGAAGCTGCTGAATAAAAAACACAAGGTGGCTGAATTTGTATGCTGAAGCTTATAAGCGTTCATTATTTTCACTCAATTTAATTAGTTTTTTAGCACCCCCTCTGAACTGTTAAGCCCCCCCTTAGCACCCCCAAC